GTTTTTAATTTAACGGCAATATAAGAAAAACGGATTAGGAGTACGACTAGGAAGCATATCCATAACCATTTGTGAAATGAACAGACTTTTGGGGTGAAATGATGTGCCTGGAAGAATAAGTATTCCCTACTCTGTGCATGGTATCTGTTTGACCCTTCATTTAACCAAGTCCCTTGACAACCCAAAACGCAGTTTCACTTTTTACCTAAAATTTATTTGAGCGTTAATAAGTCTTTTTTAACTGATGATTTAAGTCAAAGTCCTGTAACGAACAATAACTTGCCTCAAACACGTGGTTTTCTTAAACAAATGCTTATTTCTCCAACACTACAGTTATTCAACTTAAATATAGTTGAAAATAATGTAAATAGTTATTAGAAATCTATCACAGATTTTTTTTTTAGCTACCAAATCTCAATAAAGCTTATTTTAAACAAAAGTACAGGTAGTCACTGTTATATAGCTGAAAAAATGCTATTGGTTATGTTACATGTAAAAGAAAATTAGAGACCATAGGGATAAAAAAACAAGAAAACAGCTTATCACAAAGAAAAATGATGAAAGAAAAACAAAAAGCAAACCAAAATACACAGTAAAACTCATGCAATTGAGGAAGAGGGCAAAACCAGAAACACAAGAACAAGAAAACAAGGAGCGGAAACAAACATGAAACATAAACATTGAAGAAAACACCAAAAACATATTCATTTGTGTGAAATTGCCTGCACCAGCCATTTTGCTGCTACGAATGACTGGGTTTGTTCGCTAGTATTCTTATTTCGGTCGAATCCGATGATTACATCTCATTTACAGGGATTTCCGATAAAGTAAACTAGAATTCTGAAATATAATTTAATTTATGGATTAGGGTCCTTGAAAACTGGCCTTTTCTTTTCCTTCTATATATAACAAAACCGTCATTGTTAACGGCGGCTTGGACGTTACATGACATTATTTAATTGTGACAGAAAAATACGTAATATCAAAATCTGCCATAGATTTGGAGAAAACAAAAAACTGCCACAGATTTATGATTTGTTTGACGTTTGTGACGTCATATTTACCATAGATTAGGAATTTGCCATAGATCTGAAACCCACCATAGATTTGAGTCCTACATATATATACAAGTCTAAATTGAAAACAACGTTCAAACCTATGATTGCGTTGGATAAAAACCGCAATTTTTAGACGTGTGCATGTAAAACAAATTTCTTGGTAGAGGGGTCTAAATACAGCACAAACAACATTTTCCAAAAGACAAAAAAAGTGAAAGGTATATTTTAACAAATCGAATTTGACTAACATGTCGAACAACTGATGTTCTTAAACCCTGCTGACTGCCATTGACGATTGCCAAATAAATTGATCACGAGATGTAACATGGATCTTAATTATTAATTTAATACCAAACAGAAAACAATAAACTTGCGGAGAAGATGGTATACCGCAAACATGAGGTGCAAAAATTTGTACACCATATCCGGATTTCGACAATTAATGTCTCTTCAGTGATGTTAGGGATCGAAACGGTATTTGGAAGGCCATATAATTTACCTCAATTTAGAATAGACTCTTGAATTTTAAAGAGTCGAAATAGGATGAACGGATCATATAAACCCGAAGGAAAATATAATACAAGCCCAAACGAAAAAATATAAACAAGTCTAAATTGAAAACAACGTTCAAACCTATGATTGCGTTGGATAAAGACCGCAATTTTTATACGTGTGCATGTAAAACAAATTTCTTGATAGAGGGGTCTAAATACAATATATATATATATATATCATTACAGTGAGTCAGCATCATTCAGGTCACTCTAAATGTATTTAGATGTTTTATCTCTCCTGTACATTCTGTAAATCCACAACCCTTTTTAGTAAAAATGCCACACAGCTAAACACGTTCCAGATGAAATGCTGCATGAATCTTCATCTTCATGGTCATGAACAACTTGATTCATGTCACAGATGCCATGTGTGACTAACTGGGATGGAGAGTGTACATGAACATATGCTCTACTGAAGAGTTACTAGATGCTAGTACACTGGTCTTTTTATATCTGTTGCATGCCAAATGTGTGGAGAGAGTTCCACGCTTTCGGTACGTTAAGAACACGGGTTACAACTTTTTGAGAGGTCCTTAGGTGGTATGTTGCAAGTCAAAATGTCTGTTTCTATCCAATATACCATATTCCAGTGGCAGTCCAAATTTCCCGAACTTCATCCCGGACAGCCTCTATTACAAGATCTGCCTATTGTATTTGTTGTTAACTTGTTCTCGCCCATAACATGCATGAAATATTTGCTGCTACTGGACGTTAGGCAAACATCAATTAATCAATCAATTTCCTTTCAATCTCCTTTAATCTCTCCTGATTGATTTTAGTTGGTTACGTAGTGTTTTTATATTTCTTACACACCAACATCAATGTAATCCCTGTTTTTGATAAAAGTATATATTGTTCAATCATCAAAACAAACTTTTACACGGATGAGCACATACGATGAGCTAACATATATCATACGGTAATAAGAGAAAGGTTCCAATTTAAGGTAGATCTTACTTATGGGTTTTTAACGACCTTGACTGGCTATAAAGCCTTCACACGGCAGATGAGGTGTCTTCCTCTATCTTGGATTTTGAAATAGCAGATAGCAATCGGTCTAGATCTTTAATGAAATGTGAAAATTTCGAGAGTAGTATGTAAGTTATGTGTAAGACTTGTCATGTTGAGATAGAAAATTATATGTTTTATCATATTTACGGCTGTATTTTACAAAAAAAAAAACAGAATGCTTTTGTTTGAGTCACTTTTTTCCAACTTTACCACATAAGGGTAGATAACTCAGATATAAGGGGACATGACTCAGATAAAGTAGCTTTTATAATAGAATGTGTTGTGAATTTACCTATTTTATTTTGTAACAAGAAAACGAGTCCGGTGACCCTATTTTGTCTTTTTCTTATCTGAAAGCATATTATAAGAGCTATCTTCTCATATTCTGTGGTGTAGTTTTCTTTTTATCACACAAAATTGGGTTTCCATGCATAATCTATACAAAATCTGACAATTTTGCACAACCTGTAGCGTGATAAAGAGCCCGGTGACCCATACTTTTTATTATATTTTTGAAAAAAGCATGACATAAACTACATTTTGACAAATTATTAACAAATTCTATGGATTCCAATTTAGACCCCCATCTACCTTAAGTATTCCTTAGTTAAGTGAAGACTTAAGTAATTTTATGCATACGACTTAAACATGTTACTTAACTAAGGGAATTCTTAGTGAAATCTAAGTTTAAGGAACACTTAAGTAAAGATGGTTTATGCATACGGGCCCAGGCCCCTGACTTGACATATACAGAATGTTGCAGGGTTAAACATTTTTGTAAGTGCTCAACCCTCCCTTAACCCCTTAAACTGGGACAGCGGTGTTAAAGCACAACATAAAAACAAACTGTAAAATTCAGTTGCAATTTGCAACTCTAAAGATCGGTAAGATGCACTAAAATAAAAGACACAAAGTACCGAAAGAAAGAGTATTCACAGTCACTGAAAGCTAGTCAATGCCAATTACAAATAATAAATAAATAAATCATGTTTTCCCAGACTAAAGTATCAACCAATACACATCTAACGGATTTAGTGTAAAGACGTCATAAACAGTCTGAGAAACGCATGACTTTGTGCAATGCCAAAATATAAGTGAACAGTATCTACAGGATGTAGAATCATACAAGTTATTATAACTGTACATGTATAGCAACGTATAGTTAATTATGTTTTAAGTTTCCAAAAACAAAAAAAATGTTAGTAGTCCTATTAAACAATATTTAAAGATTTTAAAACTACTGTATAAATTGATAACCTGACTATAAGAATAAGTTTATTCAAAAGACCAATTAGTTTACAAATGTGTCTAAATTCACGGGCTTTATAACAGCATCACCATAAAAACAAGAATGGGGTATCCCGTTTGTAATAAGAATTCTACAGGTTCAGTCAAACTTTCTGACCAAATCTCTATATATATGAAAGAATTGGTAAAGGCTTTAATTAATTTGTGGTAACGAAAACCCTGCCTTTTAATTTATCAGTTATACATAAATTATCTTCATTTAAATCAAAAACCAACTACAGACACGGGCATAGCGAGCAAGGTCTGAAATATATTATAATACCGTCAGAAGGGGCTAAAGGGATATGCCTGTTATGGTCTCATTGACATTTACCACACCTTCATTCAATTTTAGCACATTGTTCATGAAAATCCTTTAAAAAGAAGTTGAATCTTAACAGATGGGCCGAGCGTAGCGAGGCGAAAAAAATTGATGTCTTTTGTGCCAAAAAAGTATATGTTTTATTGTATGGGGGAGAGGTGGGTGTGGGTCACCAAAATTTGTCGATGCTGTTATATTTATCTTTTTAATACTGGTTAATGAAATCATAATACAGTGTGTACTGGCTGGTCATTATCGCGTATGATACGATTTTGACACGCCTACATAGCTGATGAATATTCATGACTTTATAGATAAGGACAGCACGTGTAGCCAAACAGAGTGGAGTTGTAGATTTGTAGGATAACTGTATACATGCCAAGCGAGTAAAAACACGGATCTATCAGATGCCCCCCCCCTCTAATCTGAAGTGAAATAAGTGAAAATAAGTTAAAAAATTTAAGAATATTTACTGCAAAAAAAAAAAAAAAAAAAAAAAAGAATGTCCATAATTATAATTATTATTGTGATATCTTTATTTTTAATATGTGCTATGTTTGAAAAAAGTTCTTTGAAACCCCATTTGAATTTATAAAGAAATGTTCCATTATATCTGGGAACAGTATGTTCCTGATTATATCATGCAGGCAGCTTTGAGGGCTTCGTTAAAGGTTATTATCTTTTTGCTGCTTATACATTGTATAACTGCTTTCATGTGGTGTAAGGGAAGTAACTCCAGTGAGCGTGACGTCACTTTATAAATGGCGCTCTGCATTTGAGCAACTTCCTGTACTTCAAACTTGGAGAAAATGCTTTTTGTTGATTTCCTTGATAATCTTAAATCCATTTTATGAAACAGAAAACGTTATTTGATTGATGCATGAACTATTGCAACTAAGCATAGAACTTGTTAACCCTTTGATTGACACAAATTATTAAGCAAGGTACTGGGTGTTGAATCAGGATGTTTATTTATTTTGTTGAATATTTATGAGATACGTTACAGTATTCAGTTGGGGAAGTGAATTAAGTAGCTATAAGGAAGATAAACAGTTGCATCCATCTTCTTACTTTTTGGAAATCACATGACAATTTTAGGTTAGAATTATGAACTTATTTAAAAAAAAACTCGTAAATAGTCATCACACACATCATGGTAACACTTTCACTATTATATATTACATTTTTCATGACTTATAATTTTGCAAGTTCATTGTAAATTTTTAGTCAAATTTTGTGTTTTATAAGTTTTTATAAAAGCTAGGGCAACTTCAAATTAAACCTTGCTTCATATTTTTTATTTGAAATGAATTATTTTGATTTACCTTTTTTGCATATTATTGTAAAATATTTGGACTTATGCTTAGTTCAAATTCTGTGTTTTGTAAGTATTTAAAAAACTATGGCAGCTTTATATCTCAATAAATGTTGGTACATTTGAAATAGACAAGGGGAAGTAATCAATTATGGTGTTTTCTGGAGAGTTTCCTACTCCTTATTGCTATTTGTCTGCCATTAATAATCAGTGGATATCATAGATGTTCCAGTAACACTTGATAGTCCCAAGAGAAAATGTCTAATGCCACAAAGCCAAGCCAAAGTGATTCAGATTGTTGAATGACATCAATAGGTCAAGTGTCGCAAAAACCTCAAGTGGAGAGTCCAGAATCCAAAATAGCAAACTTCTATTTCAAAGTACTCAATAACAGTAAAAACATCACCAAAAATCAAAATAAAAATACTAATAATCAATTCAAAATCATTTACTTTTTTATTAACATTTAGACTCGAGTATTATTACTCTGCATTGTCCTGTCGTGCTGTTGATGAAGTTGTTATGCTGTAAAGTGGAGCCGTTAGGATACACCAACTTAATGATAACAGTGTTCCCGCTTGCCCTAAATAGAAGGGCGGCCCGCCCTTGTTGCCCTTACCCCCCCCTTCTTCCCTCCAAAGTAAAAAAATGCACCCCTCTGCCTTTTCAAAAAAATAAAATTTCCAAATTTCATGCCTACCGTGTTTTCGGTAAAATTGTTATCTGATTGTGTAACACTAATTAACTGACAATGGGATTAAGTTAAATACCTAATGCTTTGGCAGTTTTATCACCTTTGTTAATGATTGTTTACTTCTAATTAGTGGATTTAAGATAATTGAACAAATACTAGATATTTAATACAGAATGAAATGTCCACATGTTATCCATTTGTAATGTTTATGTACAGCATGTACACCTGAAAAAAATTATTTCAGTAGGCATAACATAAAAAATAAAATCTTAAACAATTTGAAACAATTTTAAAGGAATACATAGTTTTGACTTAATTGGTAAAAAATGTTTTGTTTCATAACCATGAGTATGAAATTTAAAGAAGAATCAAAGAAAATTGTACTTTGAACATAACAAGATTCACTTTCTGTTTTACTTCTTGTGTTTTATAATCCTCCTGACATAGGAGCACTCAACAAATTTATTTTTAACAATGATGGAGAAAAAAATAACTGTTTATACCTTCTGCAATATATTATTGCATCAATATAATATGATCATCTCCTGTCTCACCTGTTATATTTATAAAACTCCTTACTCAGGAGCACTTTGATGTGCACTTAAAAATACTTTTTTGTAACAATTCAAATGATAAAAAATATCTCTCAATAACATATATACTATATGTTTGAACAAGTAATTTAAATGTAGATAATTTAATTACATTTAAACATTCAATTTTGCATGTATAAGTCGATCTTTCAAAACTACTTGTTTATTTTTATACGACCGCAAAAAAATTTTGTGGTCGTATATTGGTATGACGGCGTCGTCGTCCGGCGTCGTCGTCCGAAGACACATTAGTTTTCGCACTCTAACTTTAGTTTAAGTGAATGGATCTTTTTGAAATTTGACCATAAGGTTAAATACTACAAAAGGAAGGTTGGGATTGATTTTGGGGGTTTAATGGTACCAACAGTTAAGGAATTAGGGGCCAAAAAGGGGCCAAAAATAAGCATTTTCTAGTTTCCAGACAATAACTGTGGAACGGTGTATGGATCTCTCTGAAATTATACTACAAGTTTCCATACCACAAAGGGATGGTTAGGATTTGCTTTGGGGGGTTATGGCTCAAACCGTTTAGGAATTAGGGGCAAAAAAGGGGGAAAAACAAGGTTGTCCTGGTTAATGGACAAATACTTTAGTTCAAAACATAATTTAAAGCAGTGTAAGGGAGATAAATCAAATACATCATTGAAATTATCTCCCTTACACTGCTTTTAAATTATGTATAAAGTAATGGTTAATGAACAATAAAGATAATTTAAAACAGTGTAAGGGAGGTAATCCAAATACAGTTACTTCCCTTACACTGCTTTTAAATTATGGGTGCTATAAACAGTTTCGTATAAAAAACTAGGGGTTATTCCCCGACTAAAAATAACCATGGAGGGAAATCCCTTTTTATTCATATAATTGGTGAAAAAGTATCATGTTTTTTGTATTCGATTGTAAAAATTAGTTAATTAGCTTTCAAATTAAACAGGTTGAATGATTAAAATAATTTTAAAAATTAGATTAAATATTCATGTTTTGAGGGGAGACAACACTGTAAACATCCTGTTTTTTTGGCAGTGAAAATTGAAAACTTATTTGCAGCCACTGTAGCTCTTTTCGAAGCAGGAAACCGTACCCTGAAACAAGATTTTTATTAAAGGCCAGGTAAAAACCTATGAATTTCATACAGTTTTGATTATGGGAAATGTGCCTGTATCATGTTTACATGGGTATGCACATGACCTGATTTCAGGTTTTTTATGTTCAGATTAGGCAACTTTTTCCCCATTTTCTCTGGATAGAACTTTTTTACTATATTAAAAGTACAGTATATTTTTATTTCAATATAAACTAGAGAAAATTCTGATTCCAGTAATATCTAGTTTTATACAAGTATCTTTATTAACCATTCCACCACTAAGGGTCACTTAGGCATGGTCCCTTAAAATATGACGTCATAGAAAAAAACTGTTGATTTCACCCTTAAAGGGTCAAACATGTAATATAGTGAGGTTTTAGCATAGAAATGTATTACTGAATGGAGTAAAACAATTCTGAAAAATATCATATGGCATGCATACATTAATTTAAAAGCATCAGTTTGGTATATTTAATGCAGATATTACAGATTTGTACATAGCAACCAGATATAAGAAAACCAGACTGTGTGCAAATTTTGAAGTTTTTTCATCTTTTTGCGACGTCATAATATTTTTATTCATTCTCTCATATATTTGGAACCAAAAGTTGCACATGAAAAGTGTAGATTTTTTCTACTTTGACCTTTACTACTGATCAGTGTAACATACATTTTTATTCATTATATTATATATTTGGTACTTTTTATAGTCAAATAACTACAAGTGCCGTTCCTAAGAAATACACTATTTCAATATTTTTCTCAACTCAGCTACACCTTAGTTCATATAATAATAGGGACAAAATCTGTTTAAAGTAACTTTATTTATGTTTATTTCATAGTTTTTATTCTATTTATTCAATAGAAACCCAATTTTATGATTTTTTTTCTTTGTATAACTGATGAAAATGTGATACAGGAAATGTTTGGAATATGCCAGTTTAACTATTTGCCACTGGCCAATATGCCAATACTATGCGACATAAAAAATGAGCCGTAGTTTCACTATCGATGGTCGCAATCCTTAAAGTAAGACATCATTTTAATCGATATAATGTATAGATTAAGAAAAGTAGAGAATTTTTTATATATCGCATACAAAGTTTTGCTTAAGGGTGCTATAAACAGTTTCGTATAAAAAACTAGGGGTTATTCCCCGACTAAAAATAACCATGGAGGGAAATCCCTTTTTATTCATATAATTGGTGAAAAAGTATCATGTTTTTTGTATTCGATTGTAAAAATTAGTTAATTAGCTTTCAAATTAAACAGGTTGAATGATTAAAATAATTTTAAAAATTAGATTAAATATTCATGTTTTGAGGGGAGACAACACTGTAAACATCCTGTTTTTTTGGCAGTGAAAATTGAAAACTTATTTGCAGCCACTGTAGCTCTTTTCGAAGCAGGAAACCGTACCCTGAAACAAGATTTTTATTAAAGGCCAGGTAAAAACCTATGAATTTCATACAGTTTTGATTATGGGAAATGTGCCTGTATCATGTTTACATGGGTATGCACATGACCTGATTTCAGGTTTTTTATGTTCAGATTAGGCAACTTTTTCCCCATTTTCTCTGGATAGAACTTTTTTACTATATTAAAAGTACAGTATATTTTTATTTCAATATAAACTAGAGAAAATTCTGATTCCAGTAATATCTAGTTTTATACAAGTATCTTTATTAACCATTCCACCACTAAGGGTCACTTAGGCATGGTCCCTTAAAATATGACGTCATAGAAAAAAACTGTTGATTGCACCCTATGTTTAAAGAAATGTATATATATTTATAAAGGAAGACCAGTAAAAATATCTGCAAATGTTGCATCTTTTTTTTTACCAAAAAATCCCTATGAAAGATTTGACACTATATTTTTAATTCTATTATAAAATAGATTAAGTTAGCACTATGGTAAATTTAAATGGGTAATTATGGTTGCCAACTCCATTGGAAAAATTTGAATTGAGATTATGACCATATCTTGAGGGAAAGAATTTTTTGGGGGGAAAAAAGGGGGGGGGGGATAAAAAGAAATTGTGGGGGGTCAATTTTTTCTCATTTCAGATTTCAGAAATTAAAAAGAATTATTCTTCAAATATTATTTTTTTTTCAAATTTCAAATGTTGAAAAATTTCAAGAAGTAATCTTTAATTGCACAGTATGGCGCATTAGATTTGTAAAATCTTTGATCACATTTATTAATTTGTTATGCCGAATCAAACAGTGTATTTAGATTTTTAATTTTGGGTCCAGTTTTCAAATTGGTCTACATTAAGGTCCAAAGGGTCCAAAATTAAACTTTGTTTGATTTTAGCAAAAATTGAATATATGAGGTTCTTTGATATGCTGAATCTATACATGTATTAAGATTTTTGATTTTTGGCCCAGTTTTCAAGTTGGTCCAAAT